TGTATCTGAACACATAAGTTAGAAGTTTCTACATGCGTAAGGCTTTCGAACTCAGTGAGGCTCTTGTTAAAACCATCTACAGTAGTCAACATTTGAAGTGGATCAAAACCTTTCATCAAAGTTGTCCTAAAACCAAAACAATACCCGTTCTTGTCTTAAGACAACTTTGATGGACTTGTTTGATCCACTTCAAATGTTGACTACTGTAAACCTTTGATTACATGGAGAACTGGCTTGTCTTGTTCGTAGGGAAATGAGTATGGGAAATATTACACATATGGAAAGATATGAATGTGAAAAGACATAAATATGAACAGCTCAGTTTTGTAATATCGTCAGAAGAACATTTTCATAAAATGTCAACCTAAGACTCTTTGGTCAGAATGTTTAAAAATGTAATTCAGATAAAAACAATAATGTCTTAAAGTAAGAAGCATAGATACACATACATATATTTCCAGCAGTGAGTCATTTGTCCCACACTCTGGTGATTCCTGTGTATTTACTAATGAAACTGTTGGCTGACGGGGCAGAGGCAGTATGCGTGACGTCAGAGAGTTTCACCCCTGGGCTCATGGGATGGTAGACAGAGTTTCTATGGATGACCAAGACTGTGATAGCGATCTAGAAGAATGAAAAGACTGATGACTCAATAGTGCTTTCTAATGATCAAACACTGAGAGCACTTGATGCTTGACCCGGCCAACTAATTACAGACTGCTGAGTTTCTAAACAATTAACACATTAGAAGAGAAAAATAACAGTGGTCTACATATCCTAAAGCTCAACAGAAAACAATAACTTATATTCTTCTTATGTAAGAAGGTGAATTCAGTGAATTTTCTTCTCTTTGTGAAGGTATATTTGATGTATTGAAAATTTAAATCTAATCCAAAAGCAAAAAAAAAACAAAAAAACATTTAAATAAAATACTAAAACTGAGAATCACTTGGCAAGTTGTTTGATAAAATGCAAACAATTTTACAATGGCTTGTAATAAAGCACACATAAATCATGAGTAAATAATTAAATAACATGTCTTTATATATAAAGACATTTTTACATTTTGCAGTATTTCTGTTGACACGTCCACATTAGGCGAAAAAACAAAACGATATCAACAGCCCAGTTTCATGAAAAAAATGCGTACTTGTGGGTATATTTTTGCGAACTGATATTGCTTGTAGCATGTTTCACGGCACTTTCAAAGTTAAGTGTCCAGTGACTGACGCTTAGGCGTTAAAGCGTGTTCAATTTTCTCTGAAACAGTCAAACGTTTTATTACGTTGGCTGTGTTACGTGTCAGTTCAGAAATGAAATGTCCGGTGTGAGGCGCCATAAGGTTAATGCTTTATCGCGTTTGAAATCAACTTTCCACCTCCACTAAACCGTAAACCTTAATGATAAGGTTAACAAAAGCAACCATGCCGTTTTAGCTGATTTCAGATAAAGATAAACAATGTTTAATTTCATTTTAAAATTGGAAAAACAAATCACAACATTATATATTATATGTATTATATTAAAACTAATATGCAGTAGGTGGTCTACTGTAAAAACAATTGCTTAAAAAATTCAGAAATCCAAATAATGAGTAAAAATATCCATTGCACTTGTTTTCCCTCCCAGTCTGAGGCTGCAAGCCTTAAATGCGTAAGCCTGATTAATGATCTGCAGTGATCATGAGAAACTATGGTGGAACAGGTTCACACTCCCACACCAAGTCACAACATGCTGTGCTGATCTTAAAGGCAGCCTATGCAATATTGTAAACATAACAAACTAAACACAACAACAAGTCACTCTTACGTCCGTCAAACAAACAAGCAAACAGCAGTTATCTACTAGCTCCCTCTATCAGTGAAAGGCAAGAACGTAAACATACATCACATGCTGTACACCATTTGCATGTACACAGAGAAACAGTAAACATATGCAATGAAAATATATTTGCAGTGCACAATGTTTTAGCCTTGATAACAAAAGTGAATCTTTTCAATATAGATAGAAGCACTGGGAGTCATCCGAAACCAGTCTACAATATTAAATCTTTCTACTGTTTTTAGTCTCCATTGATTAGATTTTGGAAAATCTCATCTCCAGTATCAATCTTTTTTGAACTGCTGTTACATAAAACCTGACCTGTGTGTAGTGGAATAACTAATTATATCTTTAATTGGTGTCATTTAATTTTATGACGGAATCAAATGTGCTCTGTAGCCCAGAACTTTTCATAAAGGTTCCATGATCCTGAGATCGGGAAAGTCATTTGACTTAATGAATTCAAAATTGAACGTTCTTAGCAGTGTGAATGGAGCATTGTCATTTTGGAAAAAGGTTTGCACCATATGTAACTGTGAAATTGTTTATATTTCTTGACCATTTCATGACTATATTTCTTATGTAACCATACAGATGCACCCCAGAAAGACTGAATGGCGGTTAGTATTGGATCACATCACTATGGCTTGATCAGTAGATTGCTCAGTAAATAATGAAGGGATCTGAATATATTCTAAATATAAACCACTAAATATGCACCACTGATCTTTGTTTTAAATTATTTCCAAGTGACAGAATATATATATATATATATATATATATATATATCAGTTAATGATTGTTGTAACTTTGCAATAATTAATCATGTAAAGAAAAAAATATATGGTTTTGCAACCAAACAGTTGAATTCTATAGCAATTTACTGGGGTCTTGTCTCATATGTGCTAATTGTCAGAGCTTGTATTTTGTTTTCATCCCCCTATCAGCACTGTGGTTGGAAATAAAAAAAAAGGTCATTTTAGTATGCTTTTTTTTTATCTGAATTTGAGCTACTCTGAAAAGTGCTTCTCCTCTGATCCCTCGCATGACCTCTATCTAAAGTGCCATTTATTTGAGTTTTTTTTTCTCTTTCCC